TATTAAATCACGTTAATATTGTGCAAACGAGCTAAAACGTAAATATTTTACTTATTGATACATGATTGGTTACAACACTTGAAGGCAGGCAAGCCATACCAATTATGGATACAGTAGCAGTAGCAGCAGCAGCAGCAGCTTCCTCCAATGGAAAATCTTAATCCAGATTCTCTACGAAGTACAGCACGAAAACTATAATTTACTTGTTTAAGAATATGGCATCATAAAGATAACACAATAGAACCTGGGACAATACGAAGTGTCAATGCCTATTATTCCTCCTTTCTGACTTGATAGCTTCGTAAGACGTCATAACTTCCTTGAATTTTGATTCGGCAAAATCTGCAGAACAAAAAACAAAAATGATCACTCACCCCAGGCTAATTATGGATTAATTTAAAATCCATAAATTCCCACCTTTGTCATCCTGATTCTGATCTGGGTGAAACTCCTTTGCCTTCGTCCTAAAGGCTGACTGAATGCAAATATATAAAAATAGGGAATGAGAGAAGAAAATAATTGCAGACAAGATGGCTTTAAAATAACTCATATACTGACTCGAAAGAATTCAGCATTGACCATGAAACTCAAATTGGATTTGATCATTAATTGATTTCTTTTCATTCGTTTAGCATGACTTCAACGACATAAGCAACTCTAAATGTAAATAGTTGTACAAGCAAATTTTTAGCACCACCACCATTTAAGATAGCACAAACAAGCATGTTATACGCATAGTGGGCAATCCATTTTTCATGATATTATGAATGGATCAAGTATATCATGGCGAATTTTTCAGAAGAATGTGCCTTCCACAATAGAATCCAATAAGTGAGATTTCAAGTAAGTGTTTACATCGTCTTCTTCTGCCCCAAGTAGAGAAGTTTCCAATGTGATTGTTCCCGAGCGAATCGAATTGGAATAAATTTTTCCATCCTCTTGGACTACGATTAGAGATTTTTTGTTGACTTCCACTACATAAGCAACTCCAAATGTAAATAGTTGTACAAGCGAATTTCTAACACCGCCGCACCATTTAAGATAAGCACAAACAAGCGCGTTATACACAGTGGGCAATACACAAAGGAGATATATATAAATGTTCCAATAATTTGACTTATTTGGAGATAACTAGAAGAGTAGGAGCTTCGTAGGCATCATAAATGTGGTATTAATTATATCATGTTGCTTGGGATATGGAACCAAATGTACTGTAGATGAACAGATCATGACACTCAAAAGATTTTCCAAATGACCACACCTTTCAGAAAATGAGATTTGCTACCCTTTCCTATTAATGGCATCGCAATATAAAAAGAACTAAATAACATAATCTTGGGAACTGTTTTATGACAGAGGTTGTAGTCTACTGGAAGAAGCCTAAACCAACTAACATGGTGATCAAGGAGAAATCGAGTCTCATATTCCCTTCATTCTTTCGCTGACCATCTAAAGCTCAATGGAATTTTAATCAATTGCTGTCCCCATAAATCCCAAGTCTTTATTTTTATCTAGTTTCTCTAGGCCTACAAAAATAAGAAGAATGAGAAAAGTGAAAACCATTTTTTTCTTTATGTTCCTATTTCTTCCCTCCTTTCATATTTTTATCATCTCTTCACATCAATTGTCCTAGTCAACTAAATAAAGAAAAATTTAGAAGTATCTCTACAGATCTATAACTTTCTAAACTCTTTCCTCCTCTTATTTTCTAAAGGTCCGTTTCAACAAAAATAGGCTGTAAACAAAAACAAAAACCATGTCATAATTGAAAAAAGCTGGTATATTGCGCATAATGCATCACTTCATTCACAACCATAAAAATGATCCATAAGAAAATAATAGAAACATTGGCTAATACCTTTATCTCATCATCTGTGTACGGTTTTGTCCTCAACCTGTTGCAGAGAAAGAAAAAGCAAAGTGTTCAACCTTTACGTAGAACTATAGCTTATCATATGGATACAAGAATTAGTTAAATGTTCGTTATAAAACAACGTTATAGTCTAGCCAAATAATAAACCAAATTATGATATAAACGTATTTATAATGATGGTAGAAGAAACTTAGAAGTTAAGGTAAAAGTAATGTGAGAGAGCAATCTCATTTCTTTCATTGTGCAATCAATATGCTTTCACTGTCTTAATAAATTGCTATGTTACTTAAAAAAATCATTTCTATAATCTATAGCTCTGCATGAAAGTCCTTTCTGATTTTATCCAGAATGCATTAACCATAGTATATCCGCCTACAGCATTAGCTTGTCAGTTGATAAGACCAAACAAGAATTGAAGTACAACATTATCTTTTCATACAACTTTCTACTCCTCGAGTCACATTAAATTTTATTCCACTTACAGAAAAGTATGTGATTTGCTTTTACCTAAAAGTTATTCTCGAATGCAACATCTACTTTCTGAATTTGGATCAACTTTTAGGTTACCGTTCTCAACTTTTTAAAATTAACACAAGTTTTCCATCATTCTCTCTCCTCATTTTGATATGATGACATCAAAAACATTCTACAAACAGCGATTGAAATAATCAGTGGTTGAAATAATCGGATTAGTTACTAATAATCTAAACTCCACTGTAAATAGATGAGGAGATGATCAGCTTTCGAAAGACTTAAAATTATGAACACGAAATTTCGGTGCATGATATCAAACAGAATAGGCCTAGTCAACTTTACAAATTAGTAATGTTAGATGTACAGTTATTTTGTTACCTAATTTGGTGTTGTGTAGCCTATAATTGTATACGTTTTATTGATGCCCAATGCAAGGAAATAAAATTTCCCAGCAATTTCCTCTCTTATTTTCTAGACGGTATTAGAGCAACATTTTTGACCTGGATTCATTCCTTGAAAAACCCTAGCCCCAGTTTGATTTTCTTTCTTCTCGAAAACCTTAACTTCCCACAATGTATGAAATCCCCTCCAGGCCCTCTCGAAACTGTAGCTCCAATTCTTATTCCCATTCTATTTAGATAACCATCATGGAGACAACTTTCTACACTGGTCTCAGTCAGTGCATATGTATATTCAAGGCAAAGGAAAATTTGGGTATTTGACTGGCGACATAAAGGGATTGTGTGCACTCTAGTCCTTCCTTGACGATAAGACGATCAAGTTCCCAGACATTTTGGAACTTATGCTGTATGGCGTCCAACACAGTTGGAACCGACACATCTCCTCCTTTATTACCATGTTATGGGGTATCTGGTGAGAAGGAAGCTAATTATGTCACTTGGGATGTTTAAAACTCCATGATTATTGCCTCACTGGTTAACTCATTGGAGGCAAAAATACCTCGAACTACATGTGCTATTCAACCACTCAGGATCTCTATTAACCAGATGTACTCTGACCTTGTCAACAATCCCAGATGTACGAACTGCAACTCCAGCTAGGAAGAAATTCGACAAGGAGGGGACAACATCACCAAATACTTAAATATCTTTAAGAGACTGGCAGGACTTGGATCTCTTCAATGACTATCAATGAAAATTCCAGATAACTACAATCACCACATAAAGATGGTTGAAAATCGTATCTACAAGTTTCTCGTTTGCTTGAATAAGGAACTTAATAAGGTAAGAGGAAAGGTCGCTCATGGAGGTCCTCTACCCTCACTTAAAGAGGTACTTACTGAAACTCAGAGGCAGGAGACTCGTCGTGGTGTTAAGCTTGGAAAAAAGGGGGCAGGGATGACAAAAAAAAAAAAAACTCTGCTCATGCAAAACATAACTAGGCCTTATAAGGATAAACTCAAAAGACTTGAAAGAATACTTGCTGATGACTTGGAAATCAAAGACTTGGAAACCTTGATATACTTCCTCGGTACATAGTTTGCTAGATCAAAAGGAGGGATTATAGATTCTCGACAAAAATATGTGCTAGACCTCTTGAGTGAGACAAGCCTACTTAGATGCAAGGAAGCAGAGACACCAATTGAACTGGATCAAATATTCCAATTAGCTAAACCAGAGGAAGTGAATGACACTGAATGATTTCATAGACTTGATGATTGGCTAATTTATTTGTCACAGTTGCCCAAATATAGCATTTGCAATGAGCATGGTAAGTCAATTTATGCATCCACCAGGACAATACACTTTGAAGCAGGTCATCTACAAGTTGAGGCATATATAGATGCAAATTGGACTGGGAGTATAACTGATTGAAGATCAACTTCCGGCTATTGTACTTTTGTTGGAGGAACTATTCTTAACGCAACAAAAAGTAAAATGTGGGTGTAAGAAGTAGGCTGAGTTTAGATCAATAGTTCATGGAATTTGCAAAGTACAGTGAGTCAAAAGAATCCTAGAAGAATTAAAGATCTTAAGCCCCTCGCCAATGAAGGTCTATTGTGATAACAAAGCAACTATCTAAATAGCCCATAAATCCTATTCTTGATGATGGAACAAACATGTCGAGTGGACAAGCAAGATCATCAAAGAGAAGAAAGATAACGGGCAAATTTTTATGAACAATACACCAAGGGTTGAACAAGTTGTAGACGTATATCACTAAAGGACTGCAGAGGAAACAATTTAAGAAACTTATAGGCAATGGAAGACATCTTCAAACTAGCTTGAGGGGGTAAAAGAAGTACAAATATAAATCCTATTCTTGATGATGGAACAAACATGTCGAGTGGACAAGCAAGATCATCAAAGAGAAGAAAGATAACGGGCAAATTTTTATGAACAATACACCAAGGGTTGAACAAGTTGTAGACGTATATCACGGACTGCAGAGGAAACAATTTAAGAAACTTATAGGCAATGGAAGACATCTTCAAACTAGCTTGAGGGGGTAAAAGAAGTACAAAGGATACATGATATAATTCATTTAAAGAGATAGCCATCTCAAAGTTGGAAACTGGCACGATTTATGAGAAGGATTACTTGTCCTTCAGGTGTTCTATACCTACCACTTTGTTACCCATTCAGTGCATAAACATGGAAATGATGGAGATATGTAAAAGTGTATATTAAAAAAAAACATGGAAAATAATTTAGATCAGATTAGATCGACATATTTTGATAAGATCGTAATGCATTAGAAATTTAGATTTAAGTTATTTACAACAATAAAAGATCTAGGCTACAAACTATAGAGACTATTAGTATGCTTGAATCAGAATTATAAGTATATTGAAATTTTCCTCCTATATTCTTCATGTCTTCACCTTAATCTTGTACTCTCTTAAGTGGTATCAGAGCCTACCCATTCCTTTGGCCAAAAATCCCTTAAGAATTACTTTTCATGTATTGTTCATTGCAGCATGTTACTGTTCACTTTAAAAGGCACTGTCATTAGTTAGTTTAACAAAAGTACATGGTTCATGTTATACTTGTCAGTATGACGATAATCTTCCTATTACTATTCCTGTAGAAGTTTGTCAAGAGAGTGAATAAAAAAAAAAAATTAAAAAAGAGTTCTTAATAAAAAAAACAAAGGGAAGGAGGAAGTAGAAAAAAATTGAGAGAGAATGAGGAGAAGAAGGGAAAAACATAGAAGAATTAAGAAAGAAAATTTTCAATATACTTGTAATAGTGATTCAATCTCAACAATAATACTCTATATAAATTGAAGCACTAGTTCCCCCATATAGTTGTAAAGAACTTGAATTAACAGGAACACCTAATGTTAAATTGGTTTTCCGTTCCCCTTTCAGTCGAGGGAATACACTCTTATTAGCTAAGAATTACAGCAAATTTGGTAAGTTATCTAACTATAGTAAGAACTAATTAGCCTATTTACCGTATATAAATTACAATCATATCTCATAATACATGCTATATATGGCTAACATCCCCCCTCAAATTGATGTTGGTTGATCAAAAAGCATCAATTTGTCAATCATGAATTGATGGCGATGACAATGACAATGAAAAGATAGGGCCTTGGTAAAAACATCAGCAGTTTGATGTTCAATGGAGATGTGAGGAAATGTAATCACATGTTGATCAAGTGCTTCACGGATAGAATGACAATCTACTTCAATATGCTTCGTGTACTCATGAAATACAGGATTGGCAGCAATCTGAATAGCGCTGATGTTATCAGCATAAAGCAAAGTAGAAGCAAATTGAGGGATACCAAGTTCGCCTAACAAACCTCGAAGCCACACAATCTTTGAGCAAGCAAAAGACATAGCACGATACTCGGATTGGGTAGAGGACTTTGAGACCCTATTCTGCTTCTTACTCTTCCAAGATATAAGTGCATCACCAAGAAATATGCACCAACCAGTAACTGAACGTCAAGTGTCTACACAGCCAGCCCAATCAGCATCGCTGTACCTTTTAACCGTAAAGAATTCCCTGTAGAGAAAAACAACCCTCAACCAGAGGTACCCTTGAGGTAACGAAGAATTCTTCGTACGGCAGCTAAATGTGGTTGACGTGGAGTCTGCATAAACTGACTGACCTGTTGTACAGCAAAAGAAATATCGAGTCGAGTAATTGTCAAATAGTTCAAACTCCCTACAAGCTATTGATATAAGGATGGATCCGATAAAAGTTCCCTGTCAACTTGGATGAGCTTGATATTGACTTCCAAAGGTGTAAGTACGGAATTCCCAGATTGAAGGCCAGCTGAGATGAGAATCTCTTGGGTATACTTGTGTTGATGTAGAAGCAAACTATTAGGATAGGAATGAACCTGAAGAACAAGAAAATACTGTAGAGAACCAAGATCTTTCATATGAAAAGAGGTGTTAAGATGCTGCTAAAGTTGCACAATCGATTGAATATCAAAACCTGTTATGACAATGTCATTCACATATACTAAAAGCACAACAAGACTTGAGGCAGTAGTTTTAAGAAGCAAGGAGAAATCAAACTGACTCTAAGTGAAATGAAAATCCAACAAAGTAGTATGGAACTTTTCAAACCAACCGCGTGGTGCCCGTTTCAATCCATATAAAGAGCGCCTCAACCGACAAACCTCAGTAGAAGAGTGAGAGAACATACCAGGAGGACTCATATATATTTCCCCCTTCAAATCACCATGTAAAAATGCATTTTTCACGTCCATCTGCCGGAGAGACCATCCTCTAGAAGCAGCTATAGCCATAATAGTTCTCGTCGTAGTCATCTTTGCAACAGGTGCGAAGGTCTCCTCATAATCAAGAACATGCTCCTAATAGTTCCCAAGAGCCACCAATCGGGCTTTATATCTCTCTACAGTACCATCAAGCCGAAGTTTAATCGTATATACCCATTTGCATCCAAGAAGTTTTACCCCATCAGGACATGGAACGATGTCCCAAGTATGATTATCCTGAAGTGCCTGAAGTTCTTCCTGCATAGCTTTCCGCCAACAAGCATGAATAGAAGCTTAAAAGTAAGATTTGGGTACAGAAGTAGTATCAAGGGTAACCTGATTAGCAATATGTGGAAACCCATACTTATCTGGAGGGCGTGAGACTTGAGATGATCGTCGACGGTCAGTGATGATGGGATCATGCGAGGTTCAGTGTCCGAAGGTGGCAATAAAGGACATCGCTGATATACAAATCCGGGCTTAAAGAGCTCAACATTACAAGACATCATCAAACTTAGGGAGCTGAATAGAGGCAGAATCATGAACACGAGACTGGAAGAAATATTGATTGTCAAAGAAAATTACATTTCAAGAAATACGAATTTTGTTAGCATCTGCATCATAACACACAAACCCTTTGTGTGAATTATTATACCCGAGGAATGCACATCGAGCAGCCTGAGCAGTAAGTTTCTGACGTTCAATAGAAGGTAAGTGAACAAAACAGATACACCCAAATATATGAAGTGAATCATACTCGGGTGCAACATTAAACAATCGAGAGTACGGAGAGTCAAATTGTAAAGTTGGAGAGGGAAGAGGATTAATCAAATAAGCAGCCGTCGATAAAGCTTCAACCCAAAATCTAGAGGGCACAAAAGATTCAATTAATAAAAAACGAACAACATCTAGAAGATGACAATTTTTATGCTCAGCAACCCCGTTTTGTTAGGGAGTGTAAGGACAAGATCATTGGGAGAAAATCTCTTTTGTTTTTAGATATTCCTGGATATTGTTGGACATATATCCCCCTCCACAGTCAAAACGAAGTATCTTAATTCTAGTATAAAATAGGGTCTCAACAAAAGCAACAAAGTTCTTAAAGATGGAAAACACATCAGTTTTAGATCGCAGGAAATAGACCCAAGTGAAATGACTATAATTATCAATAAATGTTACGAAATACTTATACTAAGCATGCAAAAGTATAGGACTTACACCCCATACATCAGTATGAATAATCTCAAAACACGTGGAAGCCCGAATACCATGCGAAGGAAAAGTTAAGGCTCTACTTTTACCAAGTTTACAAGAATTGCAATCAAAAGACACGAGGAAATGAATTTTTATTGCCCAAATAACCATTCTTTAATAGATGAGTTAAAACATTAGATTTAGGATGTCCCAATTTCTTATGCCAAGCATTACTATCATTAGCAATAGCAGTACAAGCAACTGAATCAAAAATGGAAAACTGAAGAGGAAATAAATGTCCCACTTCAGGCCCCTTCGGATCACTTTCCTCGACGCTTGATCCTGTACACAACCACCACTCCGATTAAAACAATTTCACAATTATCATCTACCAATTGTCAAAAAAAAATTAAATTCGTAGATAATTCTGGTGACACAAATACATTGGTGAAAGAAGATCCCAAATTTCCAATTGCAGTAATAGGAAGAGTACTCCCATTGGCAATTTGAATAAATTGATCATCTTTATACTTTCGAATATCATGTAGAGCTTCTGTATTACCTGTCATATGATTTGAGGCTGCAGAATCGACCAACCAAGGAACAGCAATTAGATTTTTCTTACCTTGAAGATCAAGAGCAGAAAAAGCAAAAACAATCTGTTGAACCATTTTAGGTGTAAGAGTAGATGGAGAAGCAGTTGGAGTGGAAGCAGAGGAGACAACAGCTAAATTAGACTGGATAGCGGTGCGAAAGGTTGGGCCTTGTCTATTCTGAGGTCGCAAGTGACAATCTTTAATGATATGCCCATCCTTTTTGCAGTAATTACAAAATTTCTTACTGCAGTTCTTTGCAATATGCCCAAACTCCCTGCAACTATAGCACTGTATCTGAGTTTACATTTTGCCCTTTCCTTGAGCAGCATACACCACATTAACCATCTCATTAGAGTTAAGTGGCAAGACGTTATTCTTCACGTGATAATTCTCCCAAGCATATGTCCAAAGAGGGAACACGAGTACGGTTCAGTAAAGCAGCCCTTGCAGTCTGAAATTTTGGTCTCAACTCATCAAAAATTGATCTCTTTGACTTTCAGCATGGACAACTTGAAGTGCAGCTAAAGCTTCTTTGGGAACCTTGGAATAAGTCATTCCAGAATATTCACTCATAGATTAAGGAATCCAGAATAGAATTGATCAACAGAAAGATTACCCTATTTATAGTAGCAATTTCTAATTCCAATTGGAACTTCCAGGCAGAGTTGTCTTGATAGTAAACACGCCTAAGGTAATCCCACATTTCTTTAGTAGTAGTGAACGAACGAAGATTGTTGACCATATGTGGTTCAACGGAACTCAGTAGCCAAGAAGCAATCTTGGTATTTTTACTGTCCCATGAACTAAGTTCTTTGATATCAGTCGGAGCCTTAGAAGACCCATCCAAATGACCCCATAATTCTTTCCCTTTCACAAACATCCTGAACTGAAATTCCCAACTCAAGTAATTTTTTCCATTAAAACGAATAATTGAATTTTCTCCAGACATGGTGAAATTTAAAGATTTAACAACTCAATTCCAATAAAATATCTAGTCCAGCTAAATTAGTTGGGCTCAAAATTGAAAGTTAGGCTTCCTCCACAATTAAATCCAAACACGTTACAAAATCCAATATCAAACAATAAATAAATCCAATGCACCAACAAGGCCCAATAATGGAATGTCCAGACAAAAGTGTTATATAGCCCAATTAGCAGGAATCTAAACCAAAGCCCAATAAAGTCCAGTAATGAAAACAACGGACCAATAACAGGAATATACCTGCCGAGAATCAATATCCCTTGCCAATCACCATTCACTAAGAAAAATCCAAGAAAAAAATGGATCTGTTGATCCACCGCCAAGAAGAGAGAGCCGACTGAAAGGTCCCCCCCATTCGATGACTCCAAGAGCAGCGACTTCCAAACGAAGAAAATCGCACCAAGAAACCCCGAAAGCCGTAACCTAAAATTGGCCACAGATAGTCCAACAACCAGAAGACATCGGTGACCAATTCCTGACCACCAACTGCCCTTTACTCTCTACAAATTGCTGACAGATCCTCTAATGAGTATTCTGACATCCCAAGGCCGAGGTATTTTCTATAAGAATCCAAAACCGAGATGATACTTTGAAGAATCTAAGAGGGCTCTGATACCATGTTAAATTCGTTTTTCGTTCCCCTTTCAATCGAGGGAATACACTCTTATAAAGCTAAGAATTACAGCAAATTTAGTAAGTTTTCTAACTATAGTAAGAACTAATTAGCCTATTTACCGTATATAAATTACAACCATATCTCATAATACATACTGCTATACATGGCTAACACCTAATACATCAAAGCTTATCAAATGTCAAAATCATTGTAATCTTATCTACACAAATCTAATTTAAAATAAAATAAATCTGAAAAAGCTAAACTATCTTCCTTCTTTTGTAAAATATATTTCTACGTTTCTATTATTCTAATTGCATGCCTCTATGATCCTGAAAAGATTGAAGGGAAATATCAAAGTCTCGTTCGTGTAGTAATGTACAAGCTTGTCCCTATTTGAGACTAAGGTATGTCTGTAGCCAATAGCACCACCACTCTTTTTGAAAATACAATACAATACAATAGTCAATACAGCATCCCTATCCCATTTCAAATGTCCTTCATCAGACAATAAATAATTGTATTTTGTTGAAAATAAGAAATATTATCAACTTAGCTACTTGCAAATTCTTCTCATTTTATTTGATAGATTAGGTATTGGTTAACATCTGCAACATGTAATATACCTGTCAAGGCCAAGGACTGAGTAATGGTGTGATAATGAAGTTCTTGCACTGGCCCGAGGAGTCTCTCTAAAATTATTATCCTTATCCCTGTATGATGTATCCGCTTTCCAGTACCAATCGTCCCTCCGAAAATGTTGATGATATGCATTTGGATCATTTTCTGTCCATCTCTCATAACTTTTTCTGAATTTATTTCTCTCTCTATAGAATACACTTTGCATTCGCCTAATTCGCTCCTACAAAAAGCATAAGATAGATGAATATGATAGTAAGATTAAACAGATTTCAGTACAAACAGAATGAAAGATCATAAGGAGTTTGCAAGAAAATCAAGTATGATAGAATTTTCAATTAAGAGAATACCATGGTCTACTTTATTGCTTCTCAGTGAAGGAAGTGCAAAGAGCTCTCTTTATCCTTCAACAGAAAATAAACTATTCTGAACTCGTAATTTTTTGTTCGGTTTGTGGAAAAAATAAGGGTTTTCACAATGCAGTCTATAGGTGCAATATCCATGAGCGCAGTCAGAAGTGAAAAGGAAAAGTGCACTTGTACTATTGTTAAATCAGAATTCTCTTGAATTCCATTTTATCTTTGAACTTCAGTTGAAACTTTCAAGTCCTTTGAAAGAATTTTGCAAGGTTATTATGTGCATTTTGACAATCATCTTTTCATTTAGAAGTTCTCAAATAAATAGTTTTCAAGAGATCTCCTCCAAATCACTGGTATGGCTATCGAAATAGTGAGCATCAGCATTTCGGTTCCAAATCCAAGTGGCAGCGTAAGATCCTTTAGCTATTGTTCTTGAGAAATGGCCCGGTCACTGCATCTCCATAGTCTTTAAACAAGAACCCATCAAACTCAAAAAGAAAAGGACGGATAGAAATAAGCCCTTCAATTAATAGTATTTTCAGTAAACTGCATTTTCAGCTACACCAAAGCTCCATTCGAGTTTGATCTATTAAAAGATGAACAGAAAGATATACTTTTTAAATATTTTCAATCAAAGATCTGAATAATAACTTATGCTAAATGAATACAAATAATATTTACTGCCGCCTACTGTGTTAGGATTTTGGAATAGTAACATCAATCTGCTATGTGAAACGATATATAGATCAGAATAAGAGCATAAATTACAAATTTCATACAAAGAAAGAACGAGAATAGGAACAATATAAATTGAATTTCACCACTCTTTCCATTTCTTCTTCATATTCTTCTTGCATACGGTGATTATATCTTCTCCAGGCCTCCTCCTGAAATTTCGTTCTGGAAGAACGGCCAGTTGAGCATTTCCACGATGACTGAGACCTGTTCAACTTTTTGTAATACCAAAGCATCCCAATTTGAGTATGTGTTATGAATAACCAAAAGGAAATGACATTTAAGGACGGCAAAACTGAAGCAATTAAAAGAGTGCCTATAGCAAAATTTTGCCAATGTATTATATAAGCAACTACTTGTTCTTATAACTTTATTTGGGAATCAGCCACAGACAGAGAGAAGGGAATGGAGGAAAGTTGCTACACCTACTCATCAAAAATATTGAATGTCGTGAACTATAGGTATCTGAAAAAATATCCCTAAGAAAGACAAAACAATTGAGAACTATGAAACCAACAGTTACCTGAGTGTAGATCCAATCAACCGTTGTTCGCAATTGGGTAACCTGCGACAAAGATACTCCCAGTTATAAAGTAGGGAAAAGCTTTTAAATGCATCACATTACAAACTTTCACCACTTATAGACTAACAAACCAAGTCTATACCTAGAATATTTGAAATGAATGCATGCAAAAAAAATATATATTTCAAGTTTTTCACTCTCTTCCACAAGATTCTGCTTGCCATTATCCTGTTCATCCCCCCTGGAGGGGTATTCTCACAATCACAATTTCTTCTTGCTGCTTTTGTAATTTTAGGTTCTGTGACAAGCAATATTGTGCTTCCATGTCAATTTGTAAGATTATAAGGTTCACCTTGGGAAACAACTCCTCTGAATTTAGGTATGATTTGTTATGAACCCTCACCGTGTTTACAGCTTCAGTGAGAACCGAGTTGGCTATTTTTCCATCTCTCTACTTCTCTCCTTTTAAATCTATGATGTCATCATGCTCAGGAGCCTAGGTAGCAGGATGGGATCTCTCATAAACTTCATCGGGAAGTGAAAAAAAGGATAAAAAATGCCATGTCTCTCATAGCTGAAGATATAAATATGAAGGAAGTGCTGGATCATTACATGAATGAACAGAAGGAATGAAATATCCTCCAAAATTCAAAAATATGGAGGAATAGGAATCTTGATAATGACCAGGAAAAGCAACCAGGGAAAGACAGAAGCATTCCCAGGCAAAAGGAAGTAATCTGAAGTGCTGGGAATAGAACAAGCTGATGCAATGCAGCCAGGAAAATCTTAAAGCCTGGAGAAGAAAGCAATAGGAAATTTTCCAGATTTAATTACTGACATATTGTTAGTCACCAAGAGTATAGTAATTTGAAATACAGATGTCCATCCCTAATATTCACTAAATGCCTTTGAGAATTCTCTTACCTACCAGGTGAAACTGAAAAGTAATTTCACTTGCTAATTAATGGATATGTTGGCATTCCCTCCAGAAGCCCCACAAACCAAAGCGGCGAAAAACAAATAGAATTTTCTAAAAAACCGGCTAACAAGGGTATTACTGCATATGAGAGCATAGTAAATGTTGAAGGTAATATCCAAAATAGGATTCATTTTTGCCAGAGCATTCAAGTCAGCTATATTTGACACTAGTTTGCCATAATGCTGAAACAATGGCAACAATTGATTCTTCCATCTAAGCGTTCATCCTTTTTCCTTGTTCCTGTTCCTAAATCTTCTTGTGGTTGTTCCCAAAGAAATGATAGTCAAGTGAGCATACTGTCTTTAATAACTAAAATAGTACTCAGAACGTTATGTAACAAGGAAACAACCAAAAGTCTATTTAAGGTCAAAAACTAAGAATTAGTAGAATTTGAGTTTATCTTAGTAGTTTTATTTGTTAGGAGCTTGATAATAGGAATGTTATCTTTTATTTCAATTTTTTTATAGGAAGTTTAATTATTTTCAAAGTCCTGCGTATAACAGGGCTGAGGGCGATGTTTAGTGACACACCTGAATTATATGAATAAAACTATTTTTCTTGCCATCAATTCTTTCCATTGATCCCCTTTTCTCCTTCATCTTATTATTCTTTATCAAATATGTGCATTCTTGCATTAGGGGAGGAAATGACTGGTGTTCAATTTCCCTGTGATTCCATGTGTCATTGCTTGACAAAGACAAAGAAAACAAGAATAGCTGTGCTAAGCCTTAATGAAAGGGACAATGTGCTATAAGACTGTATTGAATCCACTAGTTGTCAATTTTTCCCATTTTCCATCAAGAAGGTCACTGGATGACTATGAACTGCTAATTCTCACTTTTCTCACAGTTCTTTAGAAACACCTTGGAGCTTATTGAACGAGAAATGATCACCACTAGCTAGCCTGACTTCTCCATACCAAAGACCCCAGGAAATGGGCAGCAATGTTCTCTTAAAAGTGGAAATAAAGTTTTTGAAGAGAGTGTGCGATTATCACAAGAAATCTGAATTACAGTTAACAACAGTTGAAATCCTTGTAGAAACTAGTACAAAATGATATTTTTAGTTTTCCGCACTCAATTGGCATATTTAGGCACATAGTCTGCAAAACAATATGAATATATACCTTCAAATTACTTGCTCAAGGAGAACATGTGCATATATCATTTCAGCATCTAGAACAATTTTCAATTTATTTTTATTTTTATATATTTATGTCTGTTGAACCAGTAAAAGAAGCATGTAGTTCAAGATTATCATTGAAATAGCAAGTCAAAAGGTTTATAATAACCATGAAACATTGAGGTAAAGACTCGGAAATTAGGAAACATATAATAGCATTTATGGACTGATAATGCCAACCTAATCTAAGGAGTTAAAGTAAAATCCTCAAGATAAAGGATTTCATCCAGAAATTATTCTTAGAGTTCAATTCTGTTGTCCATGTGGCTCATATAGAGTGGAACACAAGCTCAGGATCAAATGGACCGATGCCGACGAGGAGCGGAGCGCATCGAACGGAACGGAACGGAGCTGAGCGACGACATCGACCTTGCGTGGGTTTAATTCACTGTCTGGTTGTTAGGGATGCTGAATGGGTTGGGAGTGCAGGGACAACGCCCCGCGGTACGGTATAGGGGTATTTTCTGTACGGGCCTTAAAGTCTTATATGGGCTCAGGCTATGATTAGTATAAATAATATGTTGTAACCCTATTTTTAACAACTGAATAAAGAAATCTCCGCTTCGCTCTCGTGGACGTAGGCACATCGCCGAACCACGTAAAAGTCTTATGTTGTTTTTCATTTTCATCTCTTTAATATTGCGCATAAAATCCAACAACTGGTATCAGAGCCAGGTTCGGATGGTGAGTTCTTCGATTGCAAAATTTGATGTGATGAAGTTTGACGGATCTGGGAACTTCGGATTATGGCAGCGAAGGGTGAAGGATTTGTTGGCGCAGCAAGGGATGGTGAAGGCACTATCTGGGAAGAAACCAGAGGGTACGTCAGATACCGATTGGGAAGAGCTCGAGGTGCGAGCAGTTGGTACAATTCGGTTTTGTTTGGCGGACGAAATCATGTATCACGTCATGAAAGTTGAGTCTCCGACAGAGGTTTGGGAGAAATTGGAGAGTCGTTATATGTCAAAATCTCTCACGAACAAGCTGCATCTAAAGTAGCGGCTGTACGGGCTGAAGATGTTAGAGGGTACGGATCTGATTCAACACACCAATGTGTTCAATCAAATCATCAGCGATCTATTGCGACTTGAAATCAAGTTTGATGATGAAGACAAGGCAATGATTTTGTTGTGCTCACTTCCTCCTTTGTACGACCATCTGGCGACCACGTTGACTTGGGGTAAAGAGACTCTCGAATTGGAGGAAATCACATCAGCCCTGTTAGCCTACAACCAGCGGAAATTGCGTACTGGTGAAACTTCACAGGGTGAAGGGTTGATCGTAAAGGGCTACCAGGATCGTGGGAGAAGGAAGGACAAGGGTGTTTCTTTTAGAGGGAACACAAGATCAAAATCTAGGAATCAAAATAAGAAAAACGTCAAGTGCTACAAATGCCATCAGATGGGCCACTTTAAGAGAGACTGTCCCAATAAGAAGCAGAGTGATGAAAGGAAAGGTGATGGGTCCTCAAGCTCAGCTAGCGTTATAGAAGGAGACTCGGATTCTGGAGATGGAGACATGTTATCAATCTCTGCAGGTAATTCTATAAAATTAAATGACTGTTGGGTACTTGATTCAGCCTGTTCATATCACATGTGTCCTCACCGGGATAGATTTCATTCATATCGTTCTGGTAATTTTGGATCTGTTCTGATGGGTAATGATGCATCATGTAAGGTCATTGGAATGGGATCCATAAAATTTAAAATGTTCGATGGTGTGATAAGGACCTTGAAAAATGTTAGGCATGTACCTGAGTTGAAAAAAATCTAATTTTTTTAGGCACTTTAAACACAAATGGTTACTCTTATAAGTCAGAGTGTGGGGCTCTAACAGTGAAGAAAGGGACTATGATTGTGATGAAGGGTTAGAAATTAGTAGGGAATATCTACAAACTACTCGGGGATACAGTTGTAGGTGGAGTTGCTACAGCAGAATTTGAGTCAGATGACACTCTTCTATGGCATATGCGACTGGGGCATATAGGAGAATGTGGCATGATTGAGCTTCACAAGAGGAATTTGTTGAAGGGGGTAAAATCATGCAAGCTGAATTTCTGCAAGTTCTGTGTACTTGGAAAGCAGTCCAGAGTACAGTTCAAGATGGGAAAGCACAAGACAGAGGGAATTCTTGATTACGTGCACTCAGATGTTTGGGGACTAGTGAGGGAGTTTGATGAGGACATCCTTATAGTTGGACTTTTATTATTGGTTCAGTATTTTAGTTGGACTTTTATTATTGTTTCAGTTGGACTTTTATTTAAGTTTACGTATTTTAATTAGGACTTAAATAATGGGCTTGGCCCTATATTTCTAGGTTTTCATTATTTAAACCTATCATTGGTTTGTAATTCAGTAGTTGATGAATTTTGATTAAATTATAACGTTGGCTTCAGCCGTTTGCCTCTCTGCTCCCTGTCTCTGTTCTTCTTCCTCTCTCCCTTTCTACCATCTCTTCTTGTTTTAGTTATTGAATCATTCACCCTACATCAAATTGGTATCAGAGCTAAACTGGAGAATTCTCACTGCAACAAAAAAAAAATTTTCCTTCGACCCACTGGGAAATCCAAAACCGTCATCACAGAGACTACCACCAACTGTCGAGGTTACAACCTTCCACTGCCAACAAACTAACACGCTGCCATAAACCGAATATTAACCAAACCAAATCCACAACATCTAACCCAATACATCATCATACTCCCCACTCCTCAAACCGGCTACTGCGAAATCAAGAAAAAGAGTCATCCTCAAACCAAAAAAATAAATAAAATCGGCCGCTTTCTTCATCCTCACAGGCGTGTCACCGCTCCAATAAGTAACCCACCGAATTACCCACAAATCCTCGGCATCTTTAACCCATACTTCCGGACTGACCATCGACGACCCCAGCTCAATACAGCAACAGTAACAGTAACCCAATCCGTATCCAGGTGACAGAACCCAAATTGACCCAACGCCTTCTTGCTCTCCACCGAGTCTTCGTCCACTTCGTCGACTCGTCTGCCGTCGCTGCCGTCCCAATCGGGTTGCATCTTGGTTGGGTTAACTGGGTTATTAGTTAAAGGGCTGGGTATTATTTATCAATTGGATCTTGGGTTAATTGGTTTAATACTTAAGTGGGTTGGTTTATTAGTTAACAGTTAGGCTTGGGCTAAATTTCGATTGGGCTGATTTATTCGTATCAATTGGGTTGGGCTTAATTTCAATTGGGATTGGGCTTGATTGATATTTTGATTGTAATTTA